AAAAGTTGGTAGAAATCATCTATTTCTTCTTCTTTGGCTCTGGTTGTTGGTGCATATATCTGAATGATAGTGGTATTTACTGGACTTCCTTGTAAGCGTATGGATATAATCCTGTCACTCACGATGTTGTACTTCAAGATGGATCTAGAAATTACTTTTTTTACTATAAAAGCAACCCCATTTGTTGAAGACATTTTTTTTCCTCTTAGCTGTTTTGCTTCTTCATTTGCTCCTTCTAATCAGATCCAAAGAGATCATTTTTACTGTCTGTCCTTTGACTTCTGGGTAAGGAAAGGGTCACCCGGGCCCAAAGCTTTCTTCACACTTGGAAGACTGGCCTTTGCATTTTCATCAGTCTTGATGTGACTATACCAATGCAGGGCATGATGTAAGCTGGTAACAGCTGCAGGCAGCCTCAAATAATGCCACATTTGCTTGCAATGACTCCTATTCCTCAATGTAGCTCTTGTTGCCCAGGTAATCTTTAAGCTGGGGAACTGGCAGAGTTTTCCAGGTCTCTGAAATCCATGATGCAGGCTGTATCTGGAGCTGGGTAGCAGAGGAGGACAAGAGGAGAGCACATGGCTGGGTCTAAACTGCCTTCTTATTCCTCAACATGAAAAGTGAGGCTTTAGATTAAACGGCTAACAAATAGCTGGGAAATCCCATGGAGTTTTTCTTATACTTGAAAATAAATTACTAAAAAGCTAATTCCTTTAATTTGTATTTCTATGGCTCTAAATAGGGAGCTCTAGTGGCCTTGTGGTAAGGAGTTGAACTGCCAATTCTAAGGCACACAGTTTGAAGCCACCAGATGCTCTTCAGGAAAAAGATGGGCAATCTCCTCCTGTGTGATTTGCTGTTGTTGATGTGTACCGTGGAGTCCAAACCTACCCATAATTGACCCTCCAGCAGGATTTCAGAGGCAGTAAATTGTATAGGAGGAGAATGCCTGTCTTTCCTCTATGGAGTAATTGGTGGATTCAAACCACAAACCTCTGGGATTGAAGCGCAGATTTCTTACTACTAGGCCATCAGAGCTCCTTTCTTTGTGATTTAACATCTCTATTCACTAGATATTCAGCTTTGAATCAGCTCCAATGTGATGGCACACAACAAGGCTCCCAAAGGAACTTCTCATAGTCTAGACCATAAGGAGCTGCACTGTTAATCTATGGTCATATCTCTCCAGCATTTTGAATCAACTAGCAACTCTGAGGGAAAAAGATGGGCAATCTCCTTTGATGCAATTTTTAGCCTCAGAAATCCACCAGGAGGGCCAGCTATGATTTAGTCCCAACTAGACAACTGTGATTTTCAGTTGGCTCCCAAAGATGTGGGGAACTGCTCCTTGAGGTGCTGGAAGTGAGGAAACACTTCTGTACTCAGAAACCTCTCAGCTGCTTCTGGGAGAACTCACATTTGCTCCTTTTAACAACCCTCAGAGATCAGCATGGCCATCTCCACTTCACAGATGGGATGATCAGGACCCAGAGAGGTGAGGCCACTTATCTTAGGTTCTAAGAAGAATGAAACTCAAGTCTAAGTAGAGATCCGTCTGCAGGCACTAAACTACACTGCATCCCTCCTGCAAAGTTGGCTGAGACAAGGTGGGAAGAGTACCTGGTAATTACCTCTCTCCCTTCCTTCTCAGCCTAGTTAAGGAAATTTTAGCCCTTCCCATCTAAACCATGGGAGTAATCCCAGAAGACTAATTCCTGCTCAATACCCTTCCCTCCCCCCGGACAGGAACTCAGAAAGCTAATACTCACAGGGCTCCTCCTGTCCAGGCAAAGTGACCTGATGCTTCTTTACACCATCAAACAGGAGCTCCGCACCACCTCTGGAAAGGAGGGCCAGAGAAAAAGATAGCCAGGTGAGCAGCTGCAAACAACACAGCTAAAATTGAACACTGAGACCCCACACTACCTCTCTCTTTAAGTCTCCTAATTCAAGTTTCCAAAAGATTTGGAAACCAGGGTCCAGAAACTCCTTGTTTATCAGTACATTGAGTACCGGTCACTATTTCTCAAATGTTACCTTCCAGTGTGGTAAAGGAGCCCTGGTGGTGAAATGTGTAATATGATGATGGATTACTAAATGAACTGTTTACATTCATCAGCTGCCCTGAGGAAGAAAGATGAATAGTCCCCTATCTTAAAGGATTATAGCCTCAGAAAACCAATTGAGGGGGTCCCCTATGACTCTCCATTGACCTGATGGCACCATGTCTGTTTTTTGAGGTGGTAAAGCAGGATGTAAATAATTTTTACTAATAAGCTCTGAGATGGAGTAGGCTCCATTGCTGTCTGACTGTAAGACTGGGCAGGTGACTCCATCTTCTGAGTTCAAGTCTCTTAAAAAATGCTGAGAATTCATCTTGGGGGGTCATTGGAATCCCTGTGTTCTAAAGGTTTTGTCTGGCAAGGTATGAGTTTAGAATAATTCTGTCCATGCCAACTAGTGCTGACCTGGTAGGTATGCCACAGTCCCAGATGGCAAGAGGCTCTGGGCTTAGTATCAACCAAAAATTACCGTTATCACCTCCTCACTTAATGTCTCTCATCTCATTTCAGGTTCAAGGCATCCTGGCGAGGAGGAAGCATTAGGAATTCCATCTGATAAAAATACAGAGGAAGGCCAAGGGAAGTTAAATGACTTATCTAGCTGAACCAGGGTTCAAATTGAATCCAGTTTGAAGCTGCCTAGCAATCTTGGCAGGAAAAAAAAAAGAAGAAGCTTCTCTAAAGGGCAAGCTCTGTGAAGGTAGAATTTGGTGCACATCTGTGTCCAAGCCCCAGTTGAGAGAAGGCTGTGGCACAGGTGCTCTGACTAAGTCCAGATGCCAGGGTTTCTGATGGGATCATGGCTCTCTCAGAGCCCAACACTGCCTCTCCCTGAGTTTCCTTATGTAAATTTCAGACTTCATGTGGGTTCTAACTGAGGCCTTAACAGACTTTTGATGGATGTAACACGTCCCACTACACCACCCTTTCCCAATTTTCAGAGAACAGAGATGTCCTGAGAGAGCCCACTAGGAGGTAAAGGCAAGGCAAGCATTGTCATGAGGGAAACATGGGGCGACTGTCATCTAAACAAGGTCACGCTTTGTTGATACAGAAATGTAGAGGGGGAGAGTAGGCCCATCTGTGGCTGCGCACAGGGCCATCTCAGCTGCAAGGCTGCACAGAGCTCCCATTTATCCTTTTCCAAGAACCTCGTTCTCTCCTGGGTGGGGGTTGGCACACAGAGCAGCTGGGGTGGGGGAGGGCAACAGTCAAGGGGCTCAAGAGTGGGGGGTCAGAAAAGAGGGGTGGGAACTGGAAGCACTGGGACTCAGGCAAACAACCAAGAGTAGCCAAACCTGGTGGTGCCAGGCTCAGAGGCTAAGTCTGTTTTTCCTTTCACAAGCGGATGAAGGGAGAACCAGTCTGGCTCAGTGGTTGACCTGTCACCACTGGGTTCGCTGGCCCTCAAGGGAGGGGTTGGAATTTCCCCTGCCAGAAGAGAGATGATATATACTCAGCCTCTGGAGCAATTCACGGAGGTAGGGCCTGCTGTGGCCCCAGAAGAGAGTCAACATAAATCCACTTATGTTTTACAGGATTTGCTATTCAAACTCAACCAGTGCATGACATCTTAAGATACTTCCCCTTCTATCCACCTCCCAATTGTTAGGAGTGCTTGCTGCTACCAGTGACAGTTATAGACAGTTTCAAAATTATCTTCACTTTTTCTAGTTAATCTTCATTCTTTTTATCATATATATATATTTTTTTTTCCTTTTCCTTGCTCTGTGAAATTAAAGCTGTCTAAAACAGTATCTAGAACACAGAAGGCACTCAGAAGTTACTTGCTGAATGAGTGAAAATTCCCGGTTCTCAATCTTCTCTGGCATTATTGGTATTTCCTCCCATTACTAAGAACTCTCAGGCTTCAGGAAGAGGAAAGAGAGTGAGAGAATCTTACATCTTAGTCTTGAAGGACTAGGCCTCAGGAACGTAAAACATATTTGTAGTATGCATTTGAATCCAGTGAAACGTGAGAAAATGCTTTCTTGAGGGTATTTCTGGAGGCAAGACAAAGCACGGCAGAGCTGCTCATTCACACAAAGATGGTAAGAGAAGCCTTCTAGAGAGTCTATCAGAGCTGGTGGGGTTGAAGGACAATATTTGCTCAAAGTGGGAAAGAGGGAAAACTGAAGCTCAAGGGATCCACGCAGGGACAAAAGATAGTGACAGGGATGGGGGCTCCTTTGCAAATCTGGTCAGGTTGTGTAAAAGGGTGAGGAGTGTGCAAAGACATGTAGGAAACAAAGGAAAGGCTAAGGGCAAAACCATACACAAAGACAAGGGCAAAAGAGAGAAGGAACCAGAGTTTGGCAAACACTTTGGGTATTCTTGCTTCTTAAGCTGCAATTCTCAAGAGACACAGTACTGGTTGATGTAGGTGATGGGATGGGCAGAGGCAGGCTTGGTGAGGAGTGGGTGGAGGATTGCTGTCTTACATTGTGGGGGCTTACTACTGGGGGTCAGTGAGGTTTGAGAGTAGAGGTGGTCAGGTCTGAATAAGGCACAGTTATGCTGATCTGTAAACTCTTGAGGGTAAGAATCATATGCTTCTCATATTACTTCTCAACAACTGCCATATAGTGCCTGGCACATAAAAGACAAAATGCCTAATAAATGAATAGGAGGTCTGACTGAGAATGAAAGGCAAGCTGGCTACAGAGAAATATTAATGGGCTGCCTGCAGCTTCCACCTTTCCAGTTTTTCTGAGAGACTGTGAAGGCAACAAGGAATCACCCAGAACTCCAGTCCTTCTGAGGCATAGCTGAACTAAATAAAGGCTAGGGAGACAAAATAGTTGGGAGACAAGACTAGTATCATTCTAATTGGTCCAACGGGCCAGACAATACTATCCATTAAAATGCACTCAACATTCATGAGACTGCTTTCTTCTAAGGGACAGAAATGCTGAACACTGAAGGAAAGCACGGACAGAGTTCTATTTATCTTTGTATTCTCAGTGTCTGGCTCACTGCCTGGCACCATGGTAAGCACTCAATAAATAGTTGGTGAATGAACTAGTCAATGAAGGGAAAATATGAAAGAAATTGAGGGCATTCAAGGGAAGGAAAGACGTTTTATGGGCAGAGGTTTTAGATTCCAAATGCCAGACTTGAGTGTGTGTGTGTGTGTGTGTGTGTGTGTATCTCTCTCTCTCTCACACACACACAGAGTTATATTCCCTGCTTTTCCATGTGATGCTGGAAATCACACCATCCATCCATCTTTCAAGGCCTCAGTTTCTCTGCCTTCTCTGTAAGCACTACAGTTTTTGTATTTAAAAAACCAGATGACATCGTAAACCCTGGCTGCTTCTATTTCTAGAAGAAAATAATCCCTTGAGCCTTCCTCTCTGCTGGGTTTATTCAGCTATTGGGATTTTCTCCTCAACTTATTAATTTTTATCTTGTGCATAACGTACAGTCAACGTTAATCTCCCTCACTGCTATTTTATTTACCCCTGTATCTCCATTCAACAAAAGATGTGCCAGCACTCAGCAAATTTGCTGTTTGTCCTGAAAGAAACTCAGGTCTGTTTAGCATGCCGAAGTTCAGGGAGATGGTAAAAGTCCAACTCAGACCACACATCTAAAGATTAACAAGGCCTAAAAAAAACCCACACAAAAAACACCGTGTAAGCAGAATTGTTGTTATGTGCCTTCGAGTCGCTTGCGACTCATAGCGACCCTATGTACAACAGCCCTAAACTCTGCTCTGTCTTGTGCCAATCGCACCGTCTCTGAAGTAAGCAGAATTACCTCCTGAAAAAACGAAATCAAAACTACTGGAGTTGTTAAAGCAAGTGGAGAGGTTGACTGCTAACCGTCGCAACTTTCGAGATCCGCAGGACATCAAGACATACTCCACCCAAATGTGAGAACGCTCCTCCCTACCCATACGTGCGCCTCTATTTCTGAACATACGGCCTCAGTGCCAGGAAGGGGCGAGCTCCTCCAGCCTCTCCGAATCAGGTGATGTAGCTCAAGGCAGGCGCCAAGAGCCTCAGCGACCCGGCCGTGAGAGGTCCCAAAGCAGACAGAGGGGCGTTCTGGGCCCTCTAACTTTGTCCGTGCTCTCGGCATCCCAGTTCTGTGACTCACCCGAACTCCAACTCCACTGACAAGGGCGCTGCCATCTTGGGGAAGCCAAGCTTACAGGAAATAGCCCTTAACTTCCGGTTCACTGACCCACTTCCGGTCATATGCTGGTGGCGAGGTCGGAAGAGGCGGTGCGTACAGAGTAATTTGCTTCCTTTATTGGATGGGGGTTAGGGCGAGGGTAACGGCGGTAGGGAGTAGAGGAAGGATCAGTTTTGCTAAGAATTTTAACGTCTGTAAAGTGCTGCAGCACTCTTCTGTTGTTTCTCTGTACTGAGGTAACTATGGATTGCTGTGATACTGAATGTTGTGCCATTGATCTGCCAAGGGCCATAATGGTTACACATGGTTGACAATATCTGGTTAGCCAACAGATTAAGACAGGCTTGGAAGCAGGAGTGGCATCCACTTCCTAAACATGCTTGTGGAAACTATAAACTTAGAGAAAGGACAGTAGTTATAGAACAAAGTTAAAGTTTATGTTTATGGGGTTAGTAATAGATGGCAATTAACAACAACAACATATATTACAAAGCTCTTGTCTTCTATTTTGGGCTTCCATTGGCTTGACGCTGTATGATGACATTCTTGTTTTGGTTGAGGGTCTGTGTAGATTGTTTTCTTTATTTAAGCCTCCTGTTTAGAATCAATAAGACTTCCAGGAGGGCTCTCTTGTTTTGGTTGAGGGTCATTGTGGAATATTTGGGTGGAATATTTTTTGTTTTCATGTGTCAAATGTGATAATGGTTACCCATGGTGGACAGTGTTCGGTGGCGCTCCCCAATTAAAACAAGATTGGAAGCAGGAGTGGCATCCACTTACGGAATAGGTTGCCTCTGGAAACCCTATGAACTGGGAGAAAAGATGGAAGTTATACAAGTGTTCAGGTCTTTTGTTTGTTATTAAACTCAAAGGTGTTCTTTCCGTAGTCAGTTGCCAATAAGACAAATGGATTGCAATAAGACACATGGATAAGCACTTTATTACAGATTTGTGGAGGACAGCGGGTCAGCCTCAAAGACTGCCTCTCCGACTGGGAGAGAGCACCCTGCTTTTATATTAGAGAGAAACACCAATTTAACAATAAACTTTTGTTAGTAAAATCAAAGAATTTCTATATCTGGAAGAAAACTATTCACACCCAGATACTCCTTTTCCTGGCAAACGGGCAGATTAAGTTACAATTTACATATGATTGATTGGGAAGAACAGCTTCAAAGAGAAAACAGCTAATCTAGGAGATGGATCTCCTCTTCTGATAAACAGATTAAAGAAAGGACACTAAGAATTCTAAGGTCAAGCAATTAGCCTTTCAGGCTGAAGAAAACTGATGCCAGTTTTATAGTTATAGTTCCGTAACTGAACAACAACAATCCTTTTCCTTTCAGACAGGGCTCTGAAACTCAGACGGGGGAGCAGCTTGCACAAGACCACAGTTAGGAAGAAGATAATCGCCAGCATCTTTCCGAAATGCCTGTGAGCCATATTACTGTTACCTTGTGTTCCTTCTCTCTTCTGTCAGCACATGCTTGACTGATAGTTAGTACTCCAATTTCAGTTATAAGTGACCACGCAATTTTTATTTCTAGTCCATAAATATTTCCCCTGAGCTCTACATTTGCTATCCAACCACTCTTTCATATGTTGATTTGGCTTTCTTTCATTCAAGAGTTATTTATTGCACCTCTTGCAGGTGCTAGTTGATCAGTGCTATGAATTGAGTGGTATGGGATAGACAAGGATTCTGCCTTTGGGACATTAACAATCTTGTTGGAGAGACTGATTTTAATCAATGAAAAAGAGCAAGGAAACTGCGTGGTTCAAAATGGGGAAAGGAGTGCATCAAGGATGCATCCTGTCTCCATACCTTTTTAATCCATATGTGGAACAGATCATTTGGGAGGCTGCGTTTTATGAGGAATGTGTCATTAGGATTGGAAGAAGTCTTATCAATAACCTGCTTTATGCATATGATGCAACCTTGGTCGTCGTAACTGAGGAAGACCTGAAGTATTCACTGCAGAATAAGGATTGCAATCTTCAATATGGATTGAAGCTCAACATCCAGAAGACAAAGATTTTCACCAGTGGGTCAATTGGCAGCACCATGTTAGACGGAGAAGAGATTGAAATTGTTAGCAATTTTAGCTTGCTCACAAATTGCTTTGGGAAAATCTGCTGTCCAGGACCTCTCCAGAGTGCTAAAGAGTAATGATGTCAGTCTAGAGATTAAGGTACATCTGACCTATGCCCCAGTCTTCAATATTACTTGCTTTGCATCAGAGAGCTAAACAATGACTAAAGATGGCAGAAGAACTGATGCTTTTTAATTGTGCTGGAGAAGAGTCTTGAACATACACCATGGACCACCATGAGAACAAACAGGTCTGTCTTGGAGACCGTGAAACCAAGTTGCTTCTTGGAGTAAAGGATTTTGAAGCTCTGTTTGACATGCTTTGGGCATGTTGCCAGGAGGGACCAGTCCTTGGAGGTGAACATCATGCTTGGGAGGGTGGAGGGACAGAGTCTAAAGGAGATGGATTGACACAGTAACTGGGGTAACGAGAATGGCTATGTCAGAGATTGGTTTGGGATAGGATAGGGTTCAGAACAGTTGTGCATAGGATTGCTGTGAGTCTCAGGCAATTCAATCACACATAGCAACAATAACAAATGTGAAATCTCATATTTTTTTTAATTGAATTTAATGAAAGTTTACAGAGACTTAGGGTTTCCAGTTATTCATTGTTGTACTTTTCTCCCTGCCCACCCCCGCCCAATACCAATTCACTGTTCTCTTTGATGAGTAAAAGAAAAACCCTTTCATTGCTAGGCAATCCCTCACACCAAGTCCACTACACTATGCAGCCTTCATTCTGGACTCCTGTCATGACAATAATACCTAATCATATATCCCTTTTAAACAGTTCTCTCCCTCATCTGTTGCAATGCAGTATACATCATTCCTCCCCTTCTTCTCTGTCTTCCCTCAACCCCAATGTCAGTCCTGTTTTACAATAATGCCCCTATGAAATATTTTTCCTTTTGTGACTGAGATATTTCATTCAGCATAATGTCCTCTAGGGTCATCCACTTAGCATAGTATTTCATGAGTTCCTCGTTTTTCAGTGCTGCATAGGATTCCATTGTGCCAATATACCAGAGCTTCTCTATCCATTCATTTGTTGATGGGCATTTGGGTTGTTTCCAGCTCTTAGCTATTGCGAACAAAGCCGCAATAAACATTGATGTGCATATATCTGCTTGGGTGGCGGTTATGGTTTCTTTAGGGTAAATTCACAGAAGTAGAATTGCTGGCTCAAATGGTATTTCTGTTTGCAACTTTTTGAGAAAGTGCCATACTGCCTTCCAAAGTAGTTGCACCATTTTACACTCCCACTAACAGTGAGTAAAATTTCAAGTTTCTCCACAACCTTCCCAGCACTTGTTGTTTGCAGTTCTGTTAAATTTTGCTATTCTTACTGGGGTAAGATAATATCTCATACTTGTTTTGAGAAATCTCCTAAGTTTATTTATAAGTTATTGTTATGTGCTCTTGAATCAACACTGTGAACAAGATTTGAACCTTGCCTATTCTGCCTATCCTCATGATCTCTGATAATGCCCAAGCCTACTGTTACAGTCACTGTCTTCCTGTTGAAGGTCTTCCTGGTTATCTCTGACCCTCTACCTTTCCCAGCATGTCTTTTTCAAAGGACTGGTCCCTCCTAACAACATGCCCAAAGCAGTTGAAACAACCTGTAACCACCTGGTTACACTTCCTTCAAGGCAGACTAATTTAATATTTTGGCAGTTCATTGGATATTCAGTACTCTTCTGCCACACCACAACTCAAATGCAAATATTCTTCTGTCATCCTTATTGATTATCCAGTTTTCAAATATATAGAAAGCAATTAAATTAAAAAGACCATAGCTTGGAATCAGGCAGGCACACCTTCATCTATAAACTGATGTTTTTACAATGTAGTACTTTGAGAAACTCTTTTTTTTTAAGAGCCTCTTGAAAGCATATTTCCCTAATGCAATGCATCTTGATTTCTTGACTGTTAGTACCATGGATGTTGATTGTGGATCCAAATAAATCCTTAGCAACTTCAGTCTTCTCTTTATCTGTCATGATGTTGCTTATCTGTCCAGTGGTGAGAATTTGTTATTCTTTTTTTAAAAATTTTATTATTTGTGTGTGTGTGCTGTCAAATTGAATCTGACTGGTCCAGGAGGAGATTGTCCCTCCTTCTCCAGCAGACCATCTGGTGGATTCGAACTGTGCACCTTTGGGATTACAGTGCAGCTTCCTGCCACTCGGCCACCAGAGCTCCCTGAGAAATTTTTATTCTTGATGTTGAGATATAATCCATATTACAGAATGTATAGCAAATGCTTCAAGTCCTCTTCTGTTTCTGGAACAAGATTTTGTCATCTGTGTAAAGCAAGTTGTTGCTGAGTATTCCTCTAATCCTGATGCCACATTCTTCATATAGTCCAGCTTCTCACATGATTAGCATACGTATTGAATAAGTATGGAGGAAAGGCAACCCTGATACTTACCTTTCCTGATTTTCAATTATGTAATGTTCCCTTTTTCTATTCAGACAACTATTCCTTGGTCTATGTATAAGTTTCACATGAACAAAATTAAGTATTCTGGGATTCTCATTCTTTGCAATGTTTTCCATAGTCTGTTATGACCCACACAGTTAAATGCCATTGTATGGTCAGTAAGACATCCAGTGATGTTCTCTGCTTTCAGCCAAGGTCCATCTGACATCAGCAGTGATATCTCTTGTTCATGGTCTCGTCTAAGTTCAGCTTGAATATCTGGTAGTTCCTTGTTGATGTACTCCAGCCTTTTTTTTTTATAATTTCAGCAAGATTTTATTTGCATGTGATCTTAATGATATTGTTTGATAATTTTCATATTGTTGGATCACCTTTTTTTGAAATGGGAACAAATATGGATCTCTTCCAGGCAGTTGGTCAGGAAGCTGCCTTCCAAATGTCTTAGTATAGACTAG